AAACTATTAAGATTCCCTGTAATAAAAGATGTAAACATGGGTCTAGCTAATTTCTTTAGTAACATTCACGGCTATATCACCAAAATAGATGCAGTCAAGAAGGGAAGTTCCCACTAAAATTCACTTTTAAGATTATATTTAAAACCTAAACATTTAGCAATTAAATATAGCTTTTTTGTATTCCACCTCTATGATATGCTAGATGGGCTTCCATGGATATTGCATAAATAAGTGGTTGGTAAATCCAATGTTGCATCAGTCGATTCGCATTTGTGAATTGGTTGGAGGTAGGTGGATTCATTTGCCAGTGTTCGCATCACAGAAGATTTTACTTGTGTAAGAAGTGGTGAAGTAAGTCCTTACATTGAAGGCAAAGATCATTCTTCCCCTTGTCCTCTTGCAGTTGCAGCAGTGTCTAGCAAAGTTGCATCCTCTGCTGTAGCTGTTTAAAGATGGTGGTCTCACTGAAACCAGAAGTTTTCAATGCTCCAAGCCAGAGCTTCACATCTTGTCATGATATGCTCAGTCTCCCTGCCTTGAAATAAAGACTTGCTCTAATGGAAGTCATATTGGTGTCTGAATATCACAAGGGAGAGAAATCTGTGTAAAGGTATTATTGAAGGTATGTTATGCTTCTTAACAACTAATACTTTTCAAGGATATGCTTCTTCCAGCACACCAGATGAAATTCTGCTGTTTATTTCGAGGCAATGTCATGATAAAAGAACAGATGTCTCCAAAGCAACAAGATGTCATTGTTCTGCTAGTGAAAATCTGAGAAGAATTAAGAGGTGTCATAAAATACTAGGAAAGTATGATTTAAATCAGAGCTTCCGTTCTTGACATCATGACATAAGAATTTGAACATAGAATTCAGTACAATAAATTATTAATGTTTTCTTAAATATCTCAAAGACAGATTACATGTCTAGCATCTTACTTGGAAAAGGGTGAGAAACGAGAAGCAAAAGAAGCAACAGCATGTGTTGGTTTGAGAATCTAGAGATTCGGGAGAGACTTCTAGAGGATCTTGCCTGAATAGGCAATAAAAGTAATGGGAGACACTGCTAATGCCAAAAGGGGTTAGAGCTAATGGGATCCAATCACTTACTAAAAATGGGGGGAAAATTAGGTATAAATAAATAAAATAGTATTCAGTATTTTACCAGCTGTACTGGGACCAGGCTAGAACTGTCTCATATACCATCCTCACAGTGCTGCAGGTTTGCACATTGACTCAAAGAGAATTTTTTTTTTCTCTTAGGAAGCAGGTGTCTACACCACAGAAAATGATAATAGCTGCTGGTGGGAGTACTTGACAGAAACTGAAGAATCACACCCTTCAGGTACATAATAATTAACAGTGACACTCAACTTCCCTGACATATTTGAAATGGAATTCAGTGGAAATAATAACATGGAGTTAAACGTGTTTGTGTGTGTGGTTGCTTGGGTAAAAGGATGAAAGAGTTATTTGATTAGTAAGGTTATATATGTTTCACTACTACAAACAATTAACAGAAGTAGAATTTGCAGCAAGAGACAAAACAGCAATGCACAATTTTAGAGGGCAGAAGGTTTAGGAGTATTTTGTGTCTGCACAAGTTTATAGCATATATTATTTTTTAAACTGTGGGGACATGGCAGCTGAAAGTTACTGGAAAAAATAGCTAAAGGGGTTGTTCAGTTCATCATAGAAATAATACTGTAATGGAGGCATACTGAAGTGATAATGCTTTGTTACATGATCTAAAACCAGTCCAGTGTATTATGTCCATGTTTCCGTTGTTTATTCATCTTAAGAACCAAACGACTAACCTTGGTTTATTTTTCCTCAACTCTGTTGAGACTGAACATTGCATCGATGACAAACTGCTGTGTACATGGATGCAAACAAAGCAGGTTATTTAGAGCTGCTATGATTGTTCCAATTTCTTTTTAAAGAAGCCAGTATAATTTCATATCTGAGCCTGAACAGAAACATTAACTCAACCAAAAATAGAAAAGTTGTTTGGGGAATAGGAGGCATGAGGGAAAGGAAGCATTTAAATCATCCTTGAGGGATGGGTTAAAACCCTGTCTAATTTGTTGGGAACTCAGACCCTGGTCTGTAGTGTAATCGGTGTTGTCTTTCTTGTTCAAGTCATGCCTGGCCAACGATCTGTCTTCAGCAAGGAAAATGAAACTCACACGTCACAACCTATGAGAAGTTTGGTGATACTGTCCTCCCTCTCCCTACTGCACAGAAACTAAGTGCAAGTTAATATGCTACATGGTTTCTTTTCTACTTGTGAGACTAAGATCGGAGTTGTGCTCAAATTTCTAACGGGCAATGCTGAATTTTACCTAAAAACATTTTCTGCAGTGTTTTCTCATGTTTTATTTCTTATGAGGCATATGTGTCATCTAGCAAATGAAAAAATTGATGTTCATATGATCTAAAGGTAACTATAGGCTCACAGAAGCATATTGATTACCATGAGGAAAGTGACCACTAATGCAAGTTTAAAGCAATAAGTCATATGAAAATAGTTTTAATGTTTCTTAACATCATTTTTTCTCCTGCTCATTTGCTAGTTTTGTCTTTGATCAGATCCTTCTTGTGGGATGGGGACACTATATGTGTGGTAGCTACAGGCCAAAGTCTACTCACCAGATGAATCTAAAGAGCTGCCTTGTCCCCGGAGAAAACATGGCACACCAGCTCAACCTGTGAAAAAGACCTGACAGCTCAGCACTTTTTTTATGATGTGGTTGGTGACGACAATGCCGTCAGTGGATACGGGCACACCGAGCAACACTTGGCCCTGCTGCATCCTGAGACCGTGCTGCCTTCTCTGGGGTGAGAAGGTGGAGAAGCCCAGAAACCTGGGTGAGAAGGTGGGGAAGCCCAGAAATCTGGGAGACTCAGAGTTGCTCCTGTGGCAGTGGATGTTAAGGGCATGAGGCAGGGCTAAGGGAGGAGAAGGGAATTGCATAGTACCGAACTGCAAGTGTGTGGGATATAGGTTACCCTTTATATTAGTGTGGGGTTTTCTGCCTTTTTTGTTTTGGTTTTTCTATTTGGTTTTCCTACCACAAGAAGCGATAGATATTGGCTGGGGTATTAACGTGCAGAACTGCAGCTGTTGCAGGGTTGCGGAACTGTTGCTTAACTATTCAAATGTGAATGGTTATTCGATCATATGAACTAGCAACCTTGTTATGTGAAGCTGACCATCTTTGCTGCTGCACTGGAGGTTTGCCTGATCACCTCTGAGAGGACGAGCATGGGCAAGGTCACAGCTTCTTGGCCATGCTGCTGCTTTGTGGATGAAACACATGAGAGGACTGGCAGCAGGTTCACCAGATGTGTCACAGCCTCTTTTGCTATTTCTGCAGAAGACCGTTATTGATATCCAATGTACAGCGTGTGTGTGGAAGCATATGCATGGCATACATTTCAAGGTGTAGTTTATATTGTATATACAACTGCCTGTGAGGGAGTGCTTGCCTCTAATGCACATTCTTGCCACTTTGCAAATTCTAGAATCTACATAAATTTACTTCCTGGCCTTAAAGGAAAAAAAAAGAAAAAAAGGAGAAATATTTTGAAAAGTTATCAGGCCAAAAATTCCTCTCATGGTAACTGTCCTGCAGGAGTCAATTTGATTGAAAAGAACTATAGAGGTCTGAAGGCAATGGGAAAGATGTATTTTTCAAATGCTCTGTTTAGCAGATGTTAATGACAGCCTTTAGTTGAACAACTAATTCCTCATGGGTCCCTTGTTTTCTTTTTCACAACTGAAATAGCAGTTTTTCTGTACCAGAACAGATCTAGCTATATTAAACTGTGTGGTTCTTGATAGCAACTGATGCACTGCCTGGGAATCTGATAGGTTCAAAAGCAAACTCATGATTAGCCAAAATAATAATTTTTAAATAATTTCTTGTTTCTTGAGAAGCTTGAATTGATAGGTTGGAAGGCTTTCTCTGCATGGGTAGTGCTGTGTTTTAAAAGGTTATGTTTTTATAGGCTAAAAGGTAATTTCAAATTTCTATTTTCAGTAAGCTCTAAGTTATACTTTCCCAAATATTATTTTCATTTTGAACTGCTGCAGTAGTTTGGGGTTTTTTTCTAATTCTATCTTAGGTACATTTTTGAGGTATTTCAACTAAGTTTTATGCTTTATAACTTTTTTTCTGATTAACTGAACTATGCTTTCAGGTTTATATTCTCCAGACATTATTTTTATTGTCGAATGACAAGAGTGATCAAAGGTTCTTTCAGACAGACAATGTTATTTCCAAGCAAAGCTACCTTAACTTCAAAAATAATGCAATAAAGCCCTACTCAGGCTCTGCAAAATTCTCAACATAACAAATAGCTTGGCATAGTTTTAATTTCACATCTGTGTACCTTATAATCAGACTGTGCCTGTTCAAACTTCAGAATATATTTTTATCTACAGGGGTGAATATGGGTTGCACTGTATGAAGACGCAGTTGTGGTGTGAAGAGGCAGTTATAAACCAAGGAAGATTAAAGAAAACCTATACTCAGATATATAGACAATATTTAAATAATTAACTCAAACTTACAAATATCTTCTTTTTATTCCCTACCAAATGTTGGTCAGATTTCTTCAGATGACTCCAAATTTTAATTTCACATTGTCCTAAAGAACTGTTGGAGAAATTTTAGAAGGAAGTAAGTGATGGTCTAAACTGTGATTGATTACCAAGTGATAACCATAATAAAGAACTCTTTTAGTAGTTTAAATATACTCAGAAGAGCTGAAAAAAAGAGGCATTAGACTTTGTTAGTTATGGATATAGTTATTAAAGATAGTGTTGATGCTCTGTGGAAAATTCTTGGGTGTGATGTGGTCATCTAGATGAAGTATGTGCTGACTCATACAGCTGCACTGAGAAACTGGGAAGAAGGAGAGGAAAGTGACACTGGTACTACCTGCACTTCTGCCAGGACAGTAATGTAGCTGATTAAAAAACCCAACGTACCGTAGGCCATAAAGGACTGTCCCATCTGGATGGAGTCGAATCATTCGGTTTTTCACTGTCACCCCATGGACAAATGATTTCTTGTCATTCTGGAAATATGTGTCCGGCACCCAGAGCTGGTCAGCAACTCTGTTGTCCAGAGTTAGGTTCAAAGGTATTCCAGAATAGGAGAGCCTTTTATCCCTCCAGGACTGCTGAAAATACATGGTCAGGGTGTAGTCCTATGGAAGAAACAAGAAGGGCTCTTTGTATTTTCATACCGATTAACTTACCAGAAGTTTACTTTTAGATAAGTCTCAGTAACTGAGTTTCAGTAGCAACAGAAAATCTAGGGATCATTAAGGTGTTGTTGTCATTAGCCATGATCATAAGCCTTGGCTTGTTGAAACCTCACACCACTCACCAGTGGCAGTGACTACCATAGGCTTTCAAAACCTCTTAAGTCAGAGGGAATACGTTTGCTTTTCCAGTCTGTGGATCAAACTTGGGTTTTGATTTTTTAAACATTTTTTTTTAATGTGAAAAGAGCAGGGTTTAGGTGACCTCAGCCAAATAGCATTGCATAGCACTGAGGACATTCTTTTGATATTCACTCCCCTTATCCTGATTGTCCCCACAATCCAGAATGGCCAGCAGTCCTTAGACTTCCTCAGAAACAGCAAATATGACCTCAGAACATAATGGATAACTTCCCATTCCCCATCTGCTGGAGCTGCCAGATGCAATGACTTTAGATAGCCAGGCACACCTTGCCTCAGCCTGGGGAATGCAGTCCTTTCTGTCCTTGACAATTGGATTTTACCGCATAGAAAATCAACACCTTTTCTTGACTATCATGTTGTAACTTAGGTGAAATACCGTTTATGCAGCCTTTCAGCTTTCCCTTCATCTGAAAAGAAATTGTTCTAAAAGGCTTCTAGTCTGATTTACGCTCTCTTATCTGTTTTTCTGGGAATTCGGTCATTTTAAAGGTAGTCAATTTTTTAAAATGGTAAAGCTCATGTACTTTGTAGCTGATGGAGTTCTTAGAAGATGACTAAAAGAGCAGTATGTGGACTATTAGTTTTCCTCATCTCTTCCCCCAACCATGTTTTCAAGTGACAGGTCACACTTACATATTTTTTTAAGGTAGAACTGCATCAAAATCGTAGCTATTACTGAAAAAATTGGTCAGGGGTAAGACTTTTTTTTTATGTGATAGAAAACCTTACCTCTGTCATTCTCACAAATCCTAGCGTGGACTCTAATTTTTGAAGAAACAGCATAAAAACTGTCTGATACAATTTGCTCTCTTCATCTTTAATGGCTTCTTAAGACTGTATTGTTGCCATGAAATCAAAGCAGAGTTGTTAACTTTCAAAAAACCTTTCTACCTGAAATGTTGCATCTAACAGAGCTATGGACTTATCAGTAAAAGTTAGTAATAAAAATGATGTTCTTCCTTGTCCTCGGTCTGTAGTAATTTTTTGTATGGATGAAATATCAGTGGTTATATAAGATAGGACAATTACATCCATTGCGAGCACAGATCCCAGATTTGCAAGGACTTCATAGATATGCCCTTTTCCAGGCCTGCAAGACAATTGCTACCCGCAACAAAGACAAGAGGTTATATGCTGAAGGAATAAGTTTTTTTTTTCCTGGCCCAGGCCCTAGGAGGAGGTCAGGACAGCTTCTTTGCTTTCCAGACCATGCTGGTCAAGCCTGGAACTACAAAGTAATGCAGTGGAGTATATACTGTGCCTTGCTGAGTGGGTGATTTATAATTTAAATAGCGGTACAGAGAAACATGGATACCAAGGAGGCAAGTTTTTGAATGTACAACTTGAATAGAAGTCGGTTAGAAGCCTCACTTAAAGAGAAGTTAAATCCCTGCCCCTTGTTCCTCCTTGTACAGCAATCATTTGGGAATTGGATGAGAGAAAATGAAAATTAAAAATAAAAACCAATCTAAAAATCAAACAAGAAAAACCCAAATGAAGATGAAAAAACCCCAACATCACAAGTCTTCATTTTTCATATGTTGTATCTGTTTTATAACCTGTCCTACTTCAAGCCACTTCAGGTAGAAAAGCCTTCAGAGATGACTGATAATAGTTAACCTCAGTGCTTCACCAGGTATGCTCTACATCTTCTGCTTGATTCATCAGAGCCTATGCAGTCCTCAGCACAGATGGTGTAGAAATTCCAATTATACACAATAATCTTTTCTCCTTCTTGTTTTCCTTTGTATTTTCACTAGGTCTTAAAGCTGCTTTTGTAGAACTGTCATGCTGTCCTGGAAGAAAGCAAACAATTGAGAGGGTGTCTATGTGATGGTTCTCAAAGCTCAACCAAGAGAGAAAAATAGCCAAGGTAAGCTACAAGAGATCTTAAAGGATGTGATCAAGTGAAAGAAAAAGAAATTCTGTGTCTTGGTTATGACTATTAGAAGAAAATGAGTTGCTATTTTTAGCATCATAGTCTGTGAAGAAACTGTGTTTCATCCAGCTGTGCTACATCCCAAATACTGTGGTTGGTAACACCATGGTAAGAGAGAGTGATCCTCTGCCCTGCAATTGTGCTACACTATGGAGAAGCACACGGCAAGCCAGCAAGTGCTAATGAGGAAGAAAAAATTCTGAGCTTCATCCTAAAGGAATGTCAGTGTTTCTTAACTGAGGAAATTATCAATTTTTTTCCCATTCCCCAGTACTTGAGGTTGTTAATCATTTAATATTTTAATGAGGAAAATAGTCTGATGTCACGATTGTGAGAGTCCCTGTAGCTGTAAGTTCTTATTTTAAAAAGCATAGTTAAAGATTATTTTAATGAAAAGCAAATTATATCTGAGCTATAATAACCCAAATTCTATAGCTATAAATTTTCTAACTTTTTTACATGAAATACAGCCTTATCTTTCTCATATCTCATCAGTGAAGGATAAAATGCTGGCAGGTCATATGGCTAGTCACATCTTGGAGGTTTCTGTATTATTTTTTATATTGTACAGGGGTGTGAATGAAGTGGAAATTTAATGACTACTTCTCTTCTACCCTGTAAAATTTGCTGGGGATTTTGTGGTTTCGAGCTCTGGAGTATATGAATAATTTCCGAATCTGTCATATCTGTAGTGGTAATTGGCTGCAGAATTTTTTTAGCTTTTATGAAAGCTTCCCAAGATTCCCATCAGTCTAGACATGGAAATAAATCAGACTAGGTTTAACTTTCATATTTAAGAATTTCTATTCATGAGTTAAAAAAGCAGGGCTCAATGTAAAATTAAAAAAGAGAATCTGTTTCTGCAGCTAACTGTTCTTTTAAATTATTTGTTTTTAAAAATATTTCACCTTTTTTAGAAACACACTGAACATTTTTTGTGCTGAACTGTACTTTCCATAATTAAAAAAAGCTGTAATGCTGCATAAAAATTATGATATTTCAGTAGATTTAATTGAGCTATCTATGCTTTCCAGAAGTGCTTTCCTACTTTTTCAGGGCATAGTGAACCGTTAGAGGGGTAATGTTAGAGCACCAATAATAATGCTGTTTTGATGTGTATCTTGTTTAGTGTTGGGTTTTTTTTTTATGTAACAAATTTTGATTAGTTAGAATGAGATTTTTTTTATCCCTTTCTTAGTACTTGTGAAAATTTCTTATTTCTTTGTATCAAACTGGAAATGTGTAAGTGAATGTAACTCGATGTGTACTATAACATATATAGGTATATCTGTACAGTGCTTTAATAAGGTGCATTAGGTTGCTAAGACAAATACATGCTCTTCCTAGGTAAGAGAGGTTCTGTGAAAATGTGAGTAAGAGAAACTAGTCTATTTTACTCAGAATTGCAAATTATTTTGTAATCTGAATTTAAGCAGGCTCATAAATAAATACTGGCACCAAGCTTCACAGTTCACTTGAGTAATATAAATTTCTTGTAGGAAAGAAAATGAATGGACCACTGAAGCATATTGCACTTGAAGTTAGAAGAACAACTTAGAGTTCCAGTAAGGAATAGACTGGACAGTTCCCATAAGTTTCTTTTTATTTCTATAATTTTTTTGTTCCCTATTTTTTTTTTTGTGCAATATGTATAGATGATGTAAGGGCAATAATGGATTTTTTTCTTTCCTGTTAAGCCTCCAGGCACCTAGTGTTTCTTAAAGAACAACTGGAGGGAAAACAAAGGAATAGAAAAGTTTCTTACGGGCAAGTACTCCACAGACCAGTATATATTAATACATGGCTTGATACATCTTTTAAGAGCAAATGTAGACAGCAGTAAGAGACAACCATGTTTTCTCTTAGCCATTTCTCTCTGTGAGGCAGCTGAAAACAAGTTTTTGCTAAAAACCCCCAACTAGTCCAGGTGGCTCATACCTGTCTATCTGCATCTGAGGATGCCAGTTAGTGTTCAAGTCCAGGTACTGGCAACTACAGTCCAAAGGTGTTCTAGGTATTATATGCTGCTTTTTGCTGAAGTCCAGGATGTTCTAGGATTCTTCTCCTCTGAGCTGTGCAAAAACTTGTCTATTCATATGCAGGCAATGAAAGGGAATGGTGGAATGACATTTGAGGACTGTGACATTGTGCTCAAGTAGTGCTGTCCTCATCCTCTCCGTAAAGCAGGTTTAGAAAGCACTCCAAGGAAAAGAAATTTCAAACTTTAACTTACATTCCAAAACACTTCATCCAGCTTGGATTTGAAGCACCAATACACAGGAGTGGGACTGGGCCTTTGGACAAAAACTGTACTTCCCAGGTTCTTGTGTGGACTGTGTGGAAGATGGTGCCTTACTGACTGGAGGACTGACTCGCAATGAGGTGGGCATAGATCAGCTTTGAGGGTTTACCATATGGAATGTGATATGAAGACTAAAGCAAATGAAGCCAAAGACGTGTTGGATGAATGCAGCACTTTCAAGTTCCTGTTAAGGCAAACCACTGTGGAAGAGTGAAGAAGTAATTAAACCACACTTCCCTTGCTACCTATAAGCAAGATAATTGGAAAGCAGCCTGTTTTCCAACAATGGTTGTTCCTGAAGTACTTAATTTTTTTTCTTTGTAATTTCCAGCTAGCTCAGCAGGAGTGAACTACGAGACCATTACAAAGTGCCTGAATGTCTAAGGAGGATGACACAGTGCTAAGAGCTCAGAATAATTCCTTCTGGTGTCAGTGCACAGCACTGCAGGTGAAGCTGACCTGATTGTGATCTTAGGAGCAGATGGGAGAGGTTTGTTG